CACCTGCAGCGCCGCCTGCGCCGCGGACAGCGCCGAGTGTGTGTCGCTGCTGCTGCACACAACCGCCGTCGTGACGCGCGCCTATGACTGCTGCCTCAACGCGATCGCCGCCGCTGCCGCCGCCGGCGCGCCGCGCGCGCTCGCGGCGGCGCTGCACAGCCCTGAGCTCCTGGAATACATGCACTGGTGCGCGGCCCTCGCGCCTACGCCACGCCATTGCTTGTCGCGCCCCTGGCCCCTCATGACTTTGGGGGCCCAATACCTGCGGAAAGCACCAAAATGTTGTTCGGTTTCACAGTATATTTTCCAGCCCTGTCTGCATATGCAAGGGATGCAGCTCAAGCCGATTCCTGGCTCAATTCTGGCGTCCCCCACGCCTCACAAAACCCAACCTGTGCCCTCCCTCGCCGCACCCACCCGGCCGCCACCCCCCCCCCCAGGCGCGGGCCCAAGGCCGCCAGCCTGCTCGGGGACGCCCTCGCCGCCGCCCTCCGCTGCGCCATCGCCGCGCCCTCCCCTGCCTGCCTCAACGCCCTCCTCCACGCCGCCGGCCGCCCCGGCTCCCCCGCCGCCGCCGCGCGCGGCGCGCTGGCCGCGGCGCCGCGGATGCGGCCCGTGTTCGCGGAGGCCGCGCGGCGCGGCGACCGCGGGGCGATACAGGCGCTGCTGGTCTGCCTGCCAGAAACCGACGACGCGCTCGACTCATCAGCGCTCGACGCCGCCGTCGCCGCCGGCCAGGACGCGGCGGCGGCCGACATCCGCATGCTGCTCTCCCTCCGCGTGCCGGCGCCCGCGCCGGTGACGGCAGCTCCCGCAGTGGCGGCCGCTGCGGCACCCGAGGCGGTGGCGCCGGGCGCACGGCTTGGCGGTTTGCCTTCCATGGCGGATCTGATGGTCGAGATTGACGCGGGCGGCGCCAGCCCCCGCGACAGGCAGCCCTGTGGCTCGCCGCCGGCCGCGGCGCCCCGCTGCGGCGGCGCGGGCGCGGGCGCAGCGGCCGGGGCGCTGCTGGACGGCGGCGCCGGCTGCTTGGGCGAGTTTGATATCCGGAAGCACCCCCGCCTCCGCGACGGCGCCGCGGGCGCGTGCGGCCC